TACTCCAAACATTTGGATTTAGCAGTTGAATCTTTGAGGTTGGACAAAGGATATGATGACATTAGAGAGGAGATGTTTGATGTGACCTTGTATTTGACTGGGAGAAAATCATCTTTGAGAAACATTGGTAATGTGTTATTTTCTCATACTAGAGTCCACCTACTAATAGTGAACAAATTTTCTAAAAAACCAAGAGACACAAACAAGTTAAACATTATATTAAAGACAGATTAGATCAGAAGGCATATATGCAAAAAGAAGACAACAAGTATCAAGCTTTCAAGAATAAAGAACTGGAATAATCATTAGTATCTTAAAAACCTAAAATAATGAAAATCCTATACTGTAACAATATATCTTAAAAGATTAAAGATTCTCATAAATCAATCTCAATTTAACATTTTCCATTAAATCTAACATACAAAACCTCCTTCTATAATATTTGGTCTAACAAGGACTAAAGATAAATATTTAATATTATATAAGCCTCCCCCCACCCCATCCCACCCCATCCCACCCCCTCCCTCCCCAACACATCTAACACTTTTGTTCTAAAAGTGGTGTAACACAATAATCAATTTTTTTAATTCAATCATAACAAATTCACCGCTTAATTTTGAAAATGAAACCCAAAAAGATCTAGATTTCTATTTACAAAAAGGTCTTCATAAACTGAAATAAAATTTTAGGCTTGTGATGTTTTACAAAGACACGGCACACGTCGCAATTGAAATTTTAAAACATTTTGGCAAAAATTTAAGCGGTTTCTGTAAATTTTAAGCTTTTATCTCGTGGCTTACCTACTTTTTTGTTAGTAGAACTTGGATATGCCCTTTCTTTAAAAAAATAATAAACTATAAAAGATATTTTAAAAACTCTTACGTGATATTTCAATACGGCTTAAAATAATAAAATCATATACATACTCCGGGCCTAACTAGTTCAAACGCAGCGATTGCGTTGCGGTGCGGGAATTTTTGGATGCGGATAGTTGTAGTTTCTAGTGATATTAAGCGTTTTATATGAATGGTATAATTTTTTAAAATAGTTACGTTTGCAGGTAATAGTTTGCTGGTGTATCCACCGATTCAAAATTTAATTAATAAAAGTTATTTAATAGACAAAAAAATAATTATAAGAAGTTAATTAAAAATGATAATCATAAAACCCAAAAACAAAAAAATAAATAATAATTAAAACACTAAATTATGGTATGATTATTTGTTGTTGCAATAAGGTCAAGTGATGCCCAATATAGCTCTATCAATGGAATTATATCATGTGCTCCTCTCAAACATTTGAGAACAAGATCATATGTTTCTCAGTTGCATTCGGAGTATCTCTAATTGGAGTTTGTAACCAGTCTGTGTCTACTTGTTCCATATGATCAAGATCATGGGAATCATTTTGCATCTGAACCTTCTTCTTCATCACTTAACTCGTGGAGTACAATGTTGTACATCAATTCTTCACCACATTTAAGTTATATAATACATATCTCATCTACAACAAATAATAAAATAAAATAAAGAATATGAAGCTAAAATATACACTTTTATTAATACTACATCCGTTTCATTTTATTTGTCATTTTAGATTTGTGCACAAGACTAATAAAAGATTTAATTTTGCATATTTTCTATATAAAAATATCAATTAAAATAATTATAAAATATAAATAAATTAAATTCGTTTTATCAAATTTTCATATTTTCCGCATTTATTTAATTACTTGTTGTTGGCTCTCGCAGGGATCCGGGTCCTCTGGAAAATTAGGGTTTTCCTAAGTTTCCTTATATTACGGAAATCGACAGTGCGAATTTCGGATCCCACAAAAAATATAAATTTTGTCTTGAAATCATAAAACAACACTTATTTTAAAAAAATTACATTTCTACATTGACAAATAAATTAAAATGCAGGGAGTATAGAAATTGTTAAACCAACAATTTATATTTTATCAAAATATTCTAAAATAGAAGAATCTGAAAAGAAACTTATTTGTAAATTAATATGTCCTCAAATTAACAAAATACCATAAGCTTAACATTAATTATTTATTGAATTGCTAATAACATTTTTTTGTAAGAATTTTATATTTGTTAAGAAAATTAAAATAAGCTAATGACTCATATATCATCACTAAAATAATTGTTTTGGCAAATTCTTTGATATATGATAAACATTAATAGCTCATGTGTACTTATTATTGACAAATGCTTTGAAACTGGAAACAAAAGTTTTCAATTGATTTAAGAGATCTTTTGGAAGCATTTTTGATTCGAGTTTCTAAAAATAAATATGATCCTGATTTTAGTTCTAAAATGATAAATTGACCTCCAATTAAGCATATGTGGTAACTAATTCACAACTATTGTTCTGAAAAATGCTACCCTAAACTCGAAAGGTTATGATATACAAACATCTCAGATTTGTGTGTTCATTTTCTTTGAATTTAGATGATGAAAATATTGTTAGCGGATCTCAGTTCAACAAAACATAAAAGTTATATCAAATGAATCACATGCAAAATAATCTGAAAGTTTAAATTGTAATAATAAATTTCGCACAATATCAAAGTTTGAAATTCAAGTCTACAAGGTTTGTCAGATGCGACAATTGATGCATATATATATATAATATAAATAAATAAAAAACTCAAAGCGCACTCAAGTTACTTTAGAAATGGTGGTGGGTCGATCCAAAGACTACCATCAGAGCATAGTCTATTCGGCTGACCCGGATAGTACCTGGCATCATCATATGAGTAGGATACACATTGCATGTTGTTACGTACGCCATACTTTGGGAAGTACACGCTGTTCTTCATCCCTAAAACATCCATTCTAGTCTCCGAGCACCACATACTTGCAAATATTGTCAAGCCGTCTAGTTTACTACTCATCTCTTCCCATTTTGAGGAGACTAACTTATACACGACTGGTTTCTCACTGTCATATGTATACATGAGAATTAGCTCTCCTTTGTGCTCCATCAAGTAAAGTTTCTTTGGCTGATACGAGAATTCGTTGTTACGAATTTCAGGGAATATAACATCCTTCCATGCTTTTTGTTTCAATGTGCGAGAAGCTGGATCAAATTCAAATAAAACACCTCCCGAGGTGAAGCAGTAGAAGCGATTATTAGTATATACCAGGTTGCTAAGGATATTGGGGTCAAAAGCAAGACAGCATTGAAACGTCGTAGTTATCCACTCAGTTGCTCCAGGATAGAAAGTGCCTATGGCCACAATATATTCTGAAATAGGGTTTAACGTGACCAAAGTACAAGTTTCCGATGTAGGGGCAGAAGAGAAAGCGATTTCATGAAACTTCAAATCATATTCTGGCAAGCTTATGAGCTTCCGAGAGTAGGGGTTGAAGAATAAGANTGAGTAACAAAAATCAGTTAAACCTGTATTGGGTAGATTCATTGTGTACTTCTTCCTCTGCAACGGATCAAAAAGATCAATAGAGTTTCCACATAACGGAATGGAGACAACCCATAGGTACTTTTGAACAACCGCAACAGATTTAGCGGCTTTATGCCATGCCTTGCAGACTGTAGATGCACGGATGCTATCTTCTAACAAAAGAAGTGACATTATCGCTCCCAAGACGCATGCTGGAAGGTCAAAACTGAAAACCTTTTTTCTCTTAGGCCTACTGTTGTTGTCATCTTTGTTGGACCTAAAAATAGTAAGATAGAAAAATTAATACATTCAAGAATTTTCATTATATAAAAAAATTCTCAAACTAAAAGTCGTAAGAGAGAGAGATGCATAAGAAAAATAATTTACATTAATTTCATCAAAACCGTAATTTTTACATACTGGAAAGTTAATTAAATCCTCAAATCATGCAAATATTATGTGAGATTATTATGAAGATATTGATCTACCAATAACGTCAAAGGAACCTTTGATTTTGTGAAAGATAGAGAAAGAAAGAGAGAGATAACTCACAAGATAATGAGGTTTCTTCTCTCATCAGTTATTTTGATTGAAATCCAAATGTTAAAAATATTTTAGAACAAGTAAAAACTATATATAGGGGGGAAATATTATAGCAGTAATTAAATATTTGAATGAGTATATTAGTCAAACAAAGAATATAGTATTTACTTTGAAGTTACAATAAATATCTTTATTTTAAGGAAAGAAATATGTCTGAGACAGGTAGAAGAATATGTCAATGAGACCATATGTTTCCAAATTCAAAGCATGCATAAACACCGATAAATTTTGTGTTTGAACCATATTTTAATTTAAAAATAAAAAATATTTGGAAACATGTGTATCATGGATTATGTCGAGATTAATGATTATATTTACTATTATCTCAAGGGAAGGTGTTGGAGAGAATATCTAACATTGGAAATATGAAAGAGACTTATAATATAAAAGTGATTTGGGTCATTCTACTTACTACCAATTGTTGGAAGCCTAAAACAATTAACATGGTATTAGAGCGGACTTACCCATTAATCCAGCCCGGACAGTGAACTGATCAGCCACATTAATTGATGGCCCATAAAAAGCTCAGATCTGCCAACATTGTTAGAGAAAGCAATGTCTCGGAGCAGGTATGATGATTTATGTCGAGATTAATGTTATAAGTACCATTATTTCGAGGGAGTCTGTTGGAGATAAAAATCTAATATTGGAAATATGAAAGGGACTTATGTAACATATACGGATTTGAGTCAGTAAACATACTACAAATTGAATTTATGTTGGAAGTTCAGGAAACTTTTTAAAGAATGCAATAAGCTCAGGATACATTTTGATTCATCTGTTTCGAGTCCTTTGCTACCCATAGAAGACGGCAGCACATGCAGAACAGTGCAAGGTGAATAATTGTGATTTGAATCAGGTATCTAGTTAATGGCCATTCTACTAAGAGAGGTATAGAGACTAATCAGAACAACAAAATGCTCAAATCAGGATTAGCCGACGAGTCAAGACCAAGCAGACCTCCACTGAATCCTAGATAAAGACGATGCAGGAGATTAAGAAGAACCCAAATACTCATAATATATCTATCAATGATGCGTAAGGGTTTTATATTGTTGAACTCTCTTCTCTTAATGTTTTAAATTCATCAACTGCAATGAAGTAATATATCTTACTTTTATACTGTTTTTTTTTTTAATTTTTTTTTCCATATGCTAGAACAAGGTTATTCAACACCTTTTCAGGTTTCTCAAAACCTTATCATTCCTTCTGTTTATTGTAGCCATTTTTTTGTCTTGTTGGTGAAGAAAAGTAACAAGAATGCTATTATTGCCATTTTTGTCGTGTAGGATCTATGGGAAGAATAATATCAAACCTATCCACTCCAAACATACCGAGATAAATGCGAAATTTCCTACAATAAATACACATTTTACCTCAAGCACAATCCTTAAACACACTTCTCATGCATGTATGGACTGCTATTACTAAAGGAATGTACCAGAGTTGTATAGTATATTCACGAGGTTGCAACTGCGTGGTTATAGCTTTATGTGATTCTGAATCTATGCACTATTTTTACTGCACATATTGACATAAGTAGTTGTTTTAAAGAAGGTTAACTAACCCCTTCAAAAATGTGATATTCGAAAATAATTTATACCCTAAACAAAATATGTAACAGAAATACCATAAACACAATACCATAAACCCAATTTAAATCATATCTCATTCGAATGAATCCCTACTTCTCCAAACTGAGATCCTACAAACACTACCCTAAAACCAACTTAAATAATATCTGACCCGGATGAAATCTCTATATTACCCAAACCTGATTTAAATAATACCCTAGCCTAACACAGTCTTTATTTTGATGAAGAAAAGGAATCAAAGATGATTTATATATAGTGATTTTTGTGAAGTGATTTTCTCTTTATGAGCTATCACGTTAAAAATTAAAGCAATTAAATACACTACAGAATTTTAATGAATAAATTTGCCATTGTATAGTTTATCCTAAGAATATAATTAATAATCACTTAAAAAGGAAAATATCTCTTAATAATTATCTATATTACTATTTGTGAAGTGATTTTTTCGCTCATAGTTTCTACCTTGAAAATTAGAGCGGTTAAATATATTACTGCTTTTGATGAATAAATTTTGTCATTATATAGTTCAAAGGAAAACAGTCATTTCATACCTAACATATCTCGATGTGTTTAATTCATAGCCAACTTATATGACCATGAAAAAATATACATGTACTTTTTTGAAAATTCGAATAACATACCCATTGTTTACCTTTTTGGACAACTTATACACCATTCGCCACATCACTTGCTACATCAACTAATTTTGCTAACATAGATGCTAAGTAAAATAAATTTGTTGACGAAGATGCCACGAGTACAACTTTATTTTAAAAAGGTAAAATAAAAAAGTCATTTTATAAAACTATATTTTTAGAGAATGTAAATGTCTATAAAAATGTTGAAAGTTTATAACTTTTTATTATTTAGTAAAACTAACGAAACTTAATTGGGTTTAGCGGAGAAAACTTTATTTTCTGTACCCTTGGACCCCGGACTGTAATTTAGAAGAAAAAGAACTAGTCTCGGCTCCAACTTGGGTTATTTTGCAGAACATCCCTCCACAACTCTTCGTTGGACAGAATCAATGTTAGAGCAAGTGGCTTCGATGAGCCTCTCCACGCAGAGAACTCTAAGCTTGACCCTTACCACTTAAGAGACACTAAGGTTAAGGTTGAGATAAGTCTGGATTTCCCATCGCCCTCTTCAATGATTGTGTGTGATTCTCAGGGACTCTCCGTTCGTATTAACGCCAAGTATCCACGCAGCCCTCCTCAGTGTAGCAACTGTGGGAAATTTGGCCACTTGCTCTACTGCTGCCCTAAACCTTTTCAAAAAAAAGCCTTTCACATAGAAGGGAACATGTCAGGAAGTTTTCTACACTCAAGAAGCAAAGCTAAAGAAGTCTTAGTAACTGAGGATTCGAATGCCGAAGCTTCCTGTTCTCAACAACAAAATTTTAGGGTTGTGATGTTTTATAAAGACACGACACATGTCGCAATTGAAATTTTCAAACATTTTGGCAATAATTTAAGCGGTTTCTGTAAATTTTCAGCTTTTATCTCGTGGCTTACCTACTTTTTTTCTAGTAGAACTTGGATATGTTCTTTCATTAAAAAAAAATAATAAACTATAAAAGATATGTTAAAAACTCTTACGTGATATTTCAATACTGCTTAAAATAATAAAATCATATACATACTCCGGGCCTAACTAGTTCAAACGCAGCGATTGCGGTTGCGGTGCGGGAATTTTTGGATGCGGATAGTTGCAGTTTCTAGTGATATTAAGCGTTTTATATGAATGGTATAATATTTAAAAATAGTTACGTTTGTAGGTAATACTTTGCTGATGTATCCACCGATTCAAAATTTAATTAATAAAAGTTATTTAATAGACAAAAAAATAATTATAAAAAGTTAATTAAAAATGATAATCATAAAACCCAAAAACATAAAAAGAAATAATAGTTAAAACACTAAATTATGGTATGATTATTTGTTGTTGCAATAAGGTCAAGTGATGCCCAATATAGCTCTATCATGGAATCAGATCATGTGCTCCTCTCAAACATTTGAGAACAAGATCATATGTTTCTCAGTTGCATTCGGAGTATCTCTAATTGGAGTTTGTAACCAGTCTGTGTCTACTTGTTCCATATGATCAAGATCATGGGAATCATTTTGCATCTGAACCTTTTTCTTCATCACTTAACTCGTGGACT